GGCTGCCTCGGTATTATTGGAACCTCGGAGCTATCCGCTGAGAACAGCAGAAAACAAACATGGCAAAACTAACATCCTCCTCAGCAGGCTGACCCCAGCGGGCGCTGTCAGCGCTCGGTTGGCCCAGGGGTGTCTCATCTACAGCAAATATTCCCCGGGGGGTGTCCAGGAGCTGTCCTGCTGCAGGAGCTGGGGCGGGAGCTGCCGCCGTGGCCGAGGTGGCACGGTGGGGTCCCCGTGGGGGCGGCCACCCCTCCCGCTGCTTCCCAGCCCCTCCTCGTCAGGGCCACGGCCTGTGAGGCCGTGAGGGGCGCAGGCCCCGGCGTGGAGCAGCTGACGGTGGGTTTCGCGTGGGGCAGGGCCTGCGCCCGGCTGGTCTCATCTTCCCCATCGCTGCGGCCTCTGCTGGGGCTGAGGCTGGGCCAGCGCAGCGGTGGGAAACTGGGGAAGAAATGCCAGGGCAGGCAAGGCCATGACTCCTCCATGCCCTCAAATGCAGCAGTAAAACAATGGGCCCTGGGCAAGAGCGTTGCCGGATTGTTGCGTGGGACTATTTGGGGGCTCCACTTTGCTGCTCATGCACGAAAGCCAGTCATTTGGCAAAAATCAGCTCAGTTAGCAGGCATTGTTCCTAAAGAGCCCGGGACTGAATGGGCTCAGGGCTAATATATTCTATTATCCCACGCCTGCCTGTTTCCCCGGGACGGCATGGAGGGAATGCGCATTCCAGGGCCGGGCGGCCAGGGCAGAGAGTGCCATGCCGTGCCATGCTGTGCCATGCCGTGCTGTGCTGTGCTGTGCCATGCCATGCCATGCCATGCCATGCTGGCCCCACAGCACTGCCCGGTGGGCAGCACAGCCAGAGACGTCATCCCCCAGCCGTCCCGTGGAGGCCGAGCGCCCGCCGTGGGGGGATGTGGCGGAGAGCAGCCGCCGTGGGCAGAGGAAGCTGCGGTGGGGGGCAGAGCGCGTAGTCCCGCAGGCTGCGGGGACAAACAATGGAGCCAGAAATAAGCACGGTTAATTGGGCTGGGCTTTTCAAAGGGTAGGAGAGGACCAGGGATGGCTGAAATTGTGCATGTTGCAAAGCATCTCATTATTCAATAAGAATATGTTAGCCCCTGTGGGAGAGGCAGCAATAAATGGCTATAAAGCAAAGTTAAATGATGACATTAGAGACTGGGCAGAGATTTAAGAAGTAGTGGGCTACATAATTATGAACGGAAATGGCTGCACAGGCTTTGCTCAGAAAAGTTAATGCCCAATTTGAAAGGGGTTTGTTGGAAGAGCAGCCCTTCTTGGCCAGCTGCTATTTAAGAGCCCTTATACTGTGTATTAAGCAATTTAGTGGTCTAGACCAGAGCTATTGGCTTTTTTCTTTTTTTTTCTCTTCTCTTTTTTTTTTTTAAAAAAAAAAGAAAAAATGGTTTGCTGGGCAATTGTATTTGAGTTTACAATTCACTCTTGGATTCCCATGCAGGCACTGCTGCTGTGGATGTGGGTATCAGAATCAGAAGAGAGAAGGGATCCAGCAAAGACCTTCCCTGGGCTGAGTTCAGGGATGGTCCAGGCTTTCAGCGTGGGTGGATGCAGCAGCCACAGCATGCCATCCCACAGCCTTCCCGCTCGGAGCGAGCAGCCCTCCGAGCCCAGTGGCTGCTGCAGAGCGTGTCAGGGTTGCACCAGCCCACAAGCAGTGTGAGATGCTCCTGGTACCCGGTGGCACACCTCTCTGGAAGTGACCATGACGGACATGCAGCTTGTTCCGCGTGGTGTTTGCTGAGTGGGGGATAACCAGAATTCTGGCAGTAGTTTTATCACAGCGTTACTGATGTGTTGCCTTTGGAGAGCTCCCCAACTTTCAAACAAGAGTTTCCTAAGTCCCCATCCTACCTGCCCACCTGTGATGTTTCTGCCACCCTGCTCAGCCTGGAACAGAAGGATTACAGCACTGCCAAGGAAAACACAGCCATTGCCACTCTGAACAGGGAGAGGGTCTGAGACTTTCTTATGATCTTGCAATCAAAAGTGGAGGGTTACTTGCACAATTTGGCTCTGAGTGCTCCAGATGAGCAGGGGTCACATTCTGGAGCAGAGACTTGTACCTGAGGACGTAACACTTGGGTGCAATTAAAGATGTTTGAGAGAAATCCAGCCAAGCGGCCCTCGAGCAGGTCAGCGCCCTGTTCCGTGCGCCCCATTACAGCACACTGCTGGGACACGATGGTATTTCCTACATTCTCAAAACAAGATGTTTCTAAAGTCATACTACTAAAAGAAGAGTCTAGGTTGTCAGATTTGCATGTTGCAGCTGTTTCTTGGTGCAAGGAGTGATCAGTGCATGGCTGCCATTTCCTGAGCCCAAGCAGCAGGAGAGGGCCTGCTCCATCCAACTGCCTCTTTCATTCAGCTCCTGGCAGCTTATGGCCAAGACTTCTCTTGTTTACTGCTGAATTCTCCACTTCATTAGTGGTGCTAACTGGCTTCTCTCTTCTCTTGGCCCTCAGGTGAAAGTGGCTCTTTCACGCTTCCAGGCTGCAGAGTCTCTTCCATTTACCTCTCAATGAGGTGTAGTTCCTGTATTAAATAGCACACGCTGTTCCAGCCAAAGGCAGCAGCAGTAACAGGAGCTTTGTGGAGTCCGGAGGAGGGAGCTGAGGAGAGCTCCCGGGGGGATGCACGGGCACACGGCGGGCAGAGCCGCTCGATGGTCAGACCTCGTGGACGTGGGGACCGAGGCAGCTGCTCCTGCCTGGCTGGCGCCGAGGGACACCCCGCTCTGCCCTCGG